GGGGCGAACACCGAGATCTATCAAGCGCGGAAGCATTTATATATAACTTTTATGTCTCGCGTCCGCGACTGTGCGCTGTTGTGTCTACCGGCGCAGCAGAGATTGACACTCTGCCGCTTGACAAACGCCGCATGTCGTCATAATCATGAACCTCGTTGACCTCCCGTGCGGCGCGAAATCGAGGAATCGACCGGATCATTCGCCGGCGACGCGGAGATCTGCGCAGGCAGTCTGAAAAGTTCTCCTGACCTGACACATACATGGCATTAGAAACTGTCAAACTATAATTGTATCGAAAAGTGGCATCCCTGATACAAACCCACGTAAAATTTTATTCGATCTGTCAAGTCATTCGAGTAGTAGCACCAGTTGAAAAAGCTTCGTGCAAGATAGGGGGGGTGCCGCATTTGCTAACGATTGACCAAAAACGCACCCGAGTGCGTATTTCTCAAGCGTGTTTGGCTTGACATTTTCGTCAAAACAGTTTTAAGCAAAATAAAATGGATTTCAAGCGTCGTCTCATAACTGTTGATGAAACATGAATCCACCAGAGCGAAAAGAACCTTCCGGAATCACACTTTAACGATGGTATTGAATTATTGGATAGACGTTGGAATAAATGTATCGAAGCTTCAGGAGATTACATTGAAAAATAAAACATATTTCACGGCGAAAAAAATTTTTCTTTCATTGTTAGGCCGAGAACTTTTCAGACCGCCCTCGTACCTCTCTCGGCGCATAACGCGCCACGGTCCGTCCATTCTAATATAATTCTGAAGATTTATCCCGCGGTTCGGCGATCACACTCGATCGAGCGCGAAAAGCTCGGCTCCGTTTCCGAGTGTAGTCCGTTTGACCTTATTGCTTGGAATGGAAACAAGTCACCAGCAGCCGAGCAGCCGAGTAATCGCCGTTGTTCAGCAACTGTCCGATATCATCGGCGTGTTACCCGTGCGCGCATACGTGATGCCACAGCAGCCATTGAAAACCGGAGCCGAAGACTTTTGAAGCGGCCTCGGGCCGTATGTTCGTCGGATCGCGACCTCGTCGAGGCGGGATCGTGTCGCAAGCGATTTTCTGAACGGCCGCCGACGAGCCGATCGTCCGTTTTCCAGCGGAACGAACGTGACGAAACAACTAATCGCCGACTGGAATCTTCCCTCGGCTTCCCGTCGCTAATCGCGAAAGGCGTGTTCTCGAAGGAGGAGAACGATCGAGGCGGTTCGATTATGTCTTATTGACGTGGTGGCGTGGTGGCGTGTACGGTGCCCGATGAAATTGGGTCATCGCGTACGAAATTGCTACCACCTAAAACGAAATTATTCCGCGAAATTTCCCGCCGCTACGGATACGGTCTATTTGCGCGATATTAAGAAAGCCATTAACGGCTGCTTCCAGGCCGGGCCGGATAGTACCGTCGGTACCGGCAATTTTTAGTCGATTAAACAGTCAATTCGCCTTTCCGCGCCGCGTCGCGCCGCTAAGAGTTCGCCATTCCGGGAAACGTCCCTCAAATAACAAGGTCCTTTGAAAAAATTATACGCGCTATTATTACCCCCGCGCGTGCGCGGCTCTCGTTTTGTCTCGGCGCTTGGCGCTCGTGTTTTCGGTGCAAAATGAAGCACAAATTCGACGGGAAGCCCTCCTCTCCTTCTATTTCCTTTCGCGCTAACGGACATTTTTGTTCCGCGTAATCGGAATATTGCATCGGTAACGTTACTTATTTATGTCGTTATTTATTCCGCTGGCCCTTTCCGACGTGTTTTCAGTCTCGCGCAAAAGTAGCAGTTGCGCGAATTGCAATCGTTTTAACGAGTCTCGCAGACCGAAAGTGTATCGACAAACACGGGGGAGAGGGAGTCTTGCAGAAACTCGAGGACGACTTTAAAGAATTATTTGACTTTTAGCAGCGTGGCGTATTTCCCAAGATATGCTTCTATCTAATTGATACCTTTGCTCGAGTGCAATCTACCGAAATATAAGGCCGAAATATATATATCGGCCAGCATAAAAGCAAAATATATTCCTCAGGACGCTTTGCTGAGTCGCTTTGCTCGTAATAATGTATAATATAGAAACTATTGATATTTATACCACATATGAATATATAATATAATCCATAAATAACAGACGATATAAAAATGGATGTAAAAAATACCTCATCTCTCTCTCTCTCTCTCTCTCTCTCTTCCTCGAGTAACTTGAACGGCGCGAGAGAGGAAGTTCAACCGGCGGAAACCAGCGGTGACATTTTTCAAATCCACCTCGTTTTCTATCTTCGTCCGCGGATCTTATTATATTATAGGGACCATTATAACCGCCCGATGTCGCGGAGCGTCATTCGTCACTGACACTGTCGACAAAAGCGGCAGCGCGTTGCGTCGCGGAACACATTATGGAAATAAAGACACGCGGGCGGCCTGTATCTCACCCCGATACAGAAATCAGACAGCGCGTGCGACGGGACAAGATTTATCGCGCTTGCCGACTCTTCTTCGGGAACTGATGCGCTTTACGTATGTCCTAGCGAGTCCGTTTTCGCGATATGACACAAATACATATTTATCGCGAGCGCGGGCGAGAACTCTGCGGGTCTCTCCGCGCGAGATGTATTCGACTTTATTTGCCTCCTTCGCGACATTATCCGCGCGATCGATCCGTCTGCGTGTATACAGGGTGTCCTGAATTGAATCTGTGGAGGGACTTGTGTTCGGCCACTTAAAATCCACACACTCTGTATATCTCGCGGTCGCGCGTTTCGCGCGAGAGATCCTTCTGCTCCTTCTTCTCCTCCTTTACCACCCTTCTTCCCGTCTCTTGTGCAAAACGTAGTCTGGCGGCTTTTCCATCTCCCCGGCGCTCTGTGTGGTGTATGTGTGTATGTGTGTGTGTGTGTGCGTGTGTGTTATTTTCCGCTCGTCGCGTCCCGCGATCGTGTATTATTATACACTCGCCATTAAGTCGTTTAATCGCGAGCTCGCTCGGAATAATCTCGCGGTGCCGTTGACGCGCTCGAGTCAATCGTCGAGCGAGAAAAATCCGCCTCCCCTCCCCCTCCCCCCGCGGTTTCTTCCCGTCCCGTCTACCGACGGAATTCTCTCCCTCAGCTCGGCAAACGGAATCCTGTCGCGAGCGGCGATATTTTTCCTCTTGTTTTTTATCGAGTTGCCGAGAATATTTGTTTGCGCGTAAAATAGCGCGCGATATAAAATGAAGGACTCGATTTCAATTTGTACCTAAAAAATACATCGTTTTTCGACATTCAGCGCGAATGACACCTTCCGTCCATCCATCCATCCATCCATTCATCCATACAACAGTCTGTCCGCACGGTGCAGCGCGTAACGTATGACGGACAGATGATCGACATTGTGCAGTCCTTAACGTCGATAATAACGCGGAAAACTTTTTTACCCAGGAAACCTCGAAAGAAACGCATGCCCACATTATGTACATATATATGTGAGATACGATCGTCCAACAACGGATGGAAGTACGCTGGAAGGCCACGTGCGAGCGTTACCGGAACGTTAACGGATCTTTCGCGGAGCGCAGTTCGTCGTCGATCGAACCGAGAAAAAAGAACAGATCGATGTTATTCAAATCGCGCACGATCCTCGGCCAAACGGCCGCGCGATGCTTTTTATTCAAATCTAAACGTCGTGGGTTCTTCTCGACGTGTCGTATCGTAAATCGCACGTGCGACACTTACACAATGAGGTATAAATAACACACTGATCGGCAAAACACCAGAGAAGAGAAGGAAATAAAAAAGTAAAAAAAGGAAAATAATAACCCTAAGAAGACTCCCCCGAGATAAATTTTAAAAAGGACTTCGCCTGCATTATCCGGCGAATTAACGACATCGCAAGAACTTGATGCGTGTTTTTTCAGGATTTAATTGGTGTAACATTTTCTCAAGATATAATTGTGATCTCCCTTGCTCGAGATAGTCTGACAGAGCATACCATTATTTCTCGCACAACTGTAACATTACGCGCAACGGAAATATAACGACGAGAACAGTAAAGTTATCGTGTTTCTTTCACGTTAGTTCAAGACGGCAAATGAAAAATCGAGTCAGTCGCGAACGAGTCGGTGAGCCGTAAAAGTCACGGGAGGGGGGGGCGGCGCTTTCCTCGAATTTCCTCAAATTTCGCGACCGATATCCGGCGGGAGAGAATTTGTTTCTCTCGCGATGCTCGAGAGACAAATTTTCCTATCGGCTACCGAGCGCGCGTCGTTGTTAAAGGTCTTCCGCACGAAAAGGTGCTCGCAATTTTGTCGCCGCGATTCGAAGCAAAACATGCAACGATGCGACCGACGCGCGAAGAGCCGACGTGCGACGTCGTTCGCGCGTGACAAAATAACAAGAGCGCGGCCCGACCGGCCGACTTCACAGCCCGGGATCGTTTCACGGTCTCGTGTCCGCCACGGAAATCGGAGATTATCCGTGCCCGACAGACAGCTGTCGTTATCGTCGATACCCCAGCGTAACGAGCGCGATCATTCGCGCCATTGTCTTCGCGCACCGCCGGTCGCTACGAGCGATTACGAGCGATTACGACGTGAGCGCCCCGTTCTCGTAGACACACCCGACGGGATAGAGACCGGCCGGCTTGCAAGCAGAAGGGCGCTCGGAACGGCGAGGGTGAGTCAGATCGCCGCGCGTGAAACTCACCCTCGCCTCCTCGTCCTCCTCAGCGCCCTCGTCCTTCGTACTTCGATCGGTTGTCGTACGTCGATCCTCGGCGAGATCTCAGATATCTCGCCGCGGGAGCGAAAAGGGCCGTTCACGGGGCTAGAGAGACGGGTCGTTCCAAAGGGCCGGGGTGTGAGGGGCAGGGGAGGGTAATGTATATGTTGAAAAAAAATCTTTTGAAAAAAAAGAGAGAGAGCCGAGTGACAACAGGAAGTGGGACACTTTGTAGTCGGTGCAGTGGGTGAGAGATAGTAGTGAGACGTATCCAGCGAGTGAACGAGTGGCGGTGCATACTTACGTCCCGTTAAAGGGTGCATCAGAGCGGGGTGCGAGGTGGCTGCTGCAGCTGCTGGTTGCTTGGGTTTGCTAACCTTTGTGTTACTTTTTGCAAATTCCAAACGTATGGTTTGTGGCATATCAGGATCGAATCTAACCCCCTGCTGCAAATAGATTCCCTAAATTAGTAAATCGGGAGCACATGTGGATGGACGGTGGGGTGGTGGGCGGAGATGAGAGAGAGAGAGAGAGAGAGAGAGAGAGAGAGAGAGAGACAGAGAGAGAAGAGAAAAGAAGTAGCGATGAAAGAGACAGTGAGGGGGGAGAGAGCTCTTCTTTCGTCACTAGCCGGCTTCGTCGCTGTGCCGAAGGTGATTTTGCGGCGAAAATGAAGTATCGTGATTTCGAGGAATCGACCAGAGCACCGATATCGCTACCGCAGATAATTTTCGAATTCGATAAAAACACCCGGGATCGGACGGAAGTTGATATTACATTCATGGCGCGATAAAAGTGCTCGCGCACTGCTCTACGTCGTTTATACATTTATGCGATGTATCGTGCAGAAAGCTTTTTCCGCGTAATGCAGCGCGACGCATCTGGCGCGCCGATACCATCGATGCTGTTTCCGCCGTTGTTTAATGCCGTTGTTTAACGCGTTGTTTAACGCGTCGTGAGAGTACCCACGGGAAATATCGATAGGCCCGTTACCGATCGCTCTCCGTTCTCTCCGTATTTCACGCGATTGATTTTCTTCCCGTATGTTTCGGCGCGATATTCGTCCATTTTGAGGGTGCGGAGCAGTTCAATGCGCAAGCGAGTCAGATTGATGCTCGTGAAAATAGCGGCGCTAATCGATATCGCGTGAATCATACTCGCACGCTAAAAAATTCCGTCAAAATAACTCGCTTACATCGCGCATTTTTCTCTCTGCTTTTTTTTTTTTCTTTTTTTTTTCAACCGACCGGCCCGGGCGACGTATGACCGCGGAATAATTTAGACGCGACAATGCATCTAATATGCGCATTGACAAATGTAAAAATGAATCACTCACTCCGATTGAATCACTCGCATGTACCGAACTCCCAGAAAAACGAACGAATCGCACAGGATACGCACCATGATGAAGCAATTTGTGAATAAATGCAGAAATCCACTCGATATGGGCTTTTTGAAACAAACGGAACAGCGAATATCGCCTTCAGCCGCGTACGCGTGCGTGCATGAGGGAAAAAAAACATCAGATCCGCATCAAAACCGTTGGTTTAATCATGAAAATCTCGTCTCACATGGGCAACGCCGAATACGACGACTCGACGATCGTGACGGCGCGTACTTGGCACGTGCGCGAAATAAAACCGAAAGGATCGATCGAATCCACCGATGACTAGCGACAAAAGTGACGGAGGTGTAATAATAATACGGGATTACTGGCTGGGAGGGAAATTAGCACAAGTGTAAGTGTGTGAGTGTCAGTATATGTGTGTGTGTGTGTGTGTATGTGTGTGTGTGTCCGTTTCTTTCCTTGTAGGTGTATTTGTAAGGTGGGTCGCTCGTTAGTACGTTCTAGGGTGTTTCCAGCGAACGTGTCCATCCGACAAAAGGATGTTTCTCTACGCGGTACGTTCGTAGTAGTTATATACCGTTGCCATACGGGTTATGTAACATTGCAGATTGCGTGAGGTCAGTTGCAACGGTATGGTAGAGCTATACACGGGGTGACCAACTTTTAACGGCCGTAAGAGAAAATTCGACCGCGGCGGCAAAAAGCCATAATCGTCACCGCGAGTTACGCACAGCAAATCACACAACGCGTGCGCGGTCGCGTGACGCGCGCGCCCTAGGGAAGGCACCATTTTTAAGCCGAAGTTGATCGCCCCGTAGGTATATGTATTTACAGATACATATATACGCGTTACATATAAATATATTCGTGTCTCGCGCACGGCCGGATACTTTTCCCCGTATCGATCGCGCGCGCGGCGTTTACGATCTGAAGGGACAAAGTTTACGTTGCGAACGGAAGGAACGCGAGCGAATATATCCGCACTGAGAAGCTCGAGTCTGAGATAACTGCACGCAAGTGCAGCAAAGCTCTGTGAAATTTGCAGTCGTTTCGAGTTTATTTCCCGAGGACCCTTGAAGAGGGCCCATTCGCGCGGGTCGTCGGTAATACCCGCGTGCGGATTCCGCGCGTTCCCGCGTTTGTTTGCCGCGCGGTACACACGTAATAACGTTCCATTACATCACACGCGCGCGATGCAAGCACTCGCGCGCGGACCGCAACATGACGAAGTTTACATTCTGCGTGCGCTCAAATATACGTATATGCAACGAGATGATACGCTTGTCGGAAGGCAAACAACACCATATATATATATATATGTGTGTGTGTATATATATATATATATATATGTGTAAATATATATATATATATATATACATATATAACGATAATGTCACACGGTGCAGCGTTAATACAATACGCCTTGGTACGTATACAGGTAGAGAGACAAAAGGTAATACTACACTTGGTCCCAATGAAAGAGAGAAAGAATGAGAGATAGAGATAGAGAAAGATAGATAGAGTAAAAACTACGGTAGAGAAAAATGAACAGGTTCGATAGGTAGACAGAGAGGTCGTGGGTGTAGTAACTAATAGAGGTAAGAGCTAGGTAGCATTAACCCGTGCCAGCTGGAGTCTAAGGTTGGGTGGAGTCTGTAGAAAAAATAAAGGGGAAAAAAAGAAACAAAAACGCAGAAGAACTGCCGGGCATATATATATCTGTACGAGTGTGTGTCACTGTGTATGTATATATATATATATATACACATATATATATATATATATAAAATTGTATATGATGACATATATATATGTGTGTGTGTGTGTGTGTGTATGTGTGTCGATATATCGATCTCTCTCGCGCGTCAGCCGCGACTCCCGTGCGCGAGAAGAGAAGATCCACCACCTTCCATTTTTGTTTCTTTTGCCGTTTATCTCTTTTCGCTTTTCCTCCCACCTGCGATTGTAGCGATGCCTGCGAGAAAAGGGCTATTACCTGCAGGTCCTGCTTCGCCGCCTCCGCGCCTGCCCTCGTGTGAAAAGTCACGAATCCCACCGGCTGAAACGAGAAAGAAAAGCAACAAGGAGCGTTTCGTTCGTCGCCGCGCGTCTCGTGATTAGCGCGTTTCTCTAATCGACCGCTCGTTACGCGAAAGAGCCGCCGCCGTCGCCGTCTTCGTCGTCGTCGTCGTTAGTCTCGTCGACGAAGGGCGAACGAGTTTGCACTTGCCTCGACGCTTCTTCTGCGCTCGTTCGTGCGCGTTGCCCCGTTCGAGGAACGACGTCTATCGCATTATTCGCGATGAAGAATGTGTGAGGCTAACACAAGCGTCGCGTATGCTTGACGATTTATTAGGTTTTTTTTTTTTACAACGAAGCCCGCCTCGGCTGCGATCTATAATTCGCGACGAGTTTCAAGACGGAGAATTGCACCCACGAGACATTGCCTGTATTGATAATCGCCACTGGAGTGTGAAACTCGTCTCAAGTGAGACATGGTCAGACTTGATATTCAATTTGAATTTTATATTAAATATGAGTTTAATCGCGATTGTGTATGTGTGTGTGTGTGTGCGTGTGCGTGCAAATACAATATCACACGCAGCTCGAATAAAACGCTCGGATGTAATTGAAATTAATTCGAGATCACACAGTGCGAGCAGTTTTGCAAGCAACAACTATTAATACGTTCTTAAATAATCCAAGTTACTCTCACAGATATGCGCAAATCCACTCGTAAATCTTGACAAACGCATCCCTCATTAGGCGTAAATCAATCGAAGCCACTCGTCAGATTACCAATAAATTTCTGTCACGAATTTCGTCTCGGATTATATACACCATCCGAAGCGGGCTCGCTTCCACCTCGTCGACACGATTATTGCGAGCGGGAAAAAAAAAGTACAAGCCCGGGTGCAATCGAAATTACCGTTTCGCATCGCGGCCTTATTAACGCGAATTTGCCCTCTCCTTCGCTCACTCGCACGCCTATCGGCACACATCTCGCCTTTTTATCTGCGCGAGCGCGCGCATCCGCTGATTTATTCGGTAGACGGCATCGATTCCATCGATTTCATACGGAATTAACGGAGCTACGAGGACACTGGGCGTCGCGACGCGAGGACGCGCGAATCAATCCGCACTAACGATCGCTCCGCCAAGGCGAGTCTGCCTGCTTGCCTACCTACGTAGCTAGCTTACCCGCGCTTCATAATGCATCGTGCGATTGCACCAGCTGCAATCGACGGTGTCGATTCCTACGACGAGCGCGAGATAAAAATGGCCGATCGTTAAGGGTCGGATTCGTTACCCGCTCTCCTCACTTCCGGCCCCGAGTTGTCCCTCGAATATTCATGCATCCGAAAGAATAAAATTGGATCCTCCTCTCCAGCCAAGTGCAATCGGGGCGCGAAAGAGCCTCGTGAACTGAACTAAAATACTGTGTAAAAGACACTCGGTCTAGCGCGTCTCGCAAAACGTTCCTCTTAAAATGAAATATTTCTGTTGTCTGCTGTCTGGAGTCGATATGAATCATATAGAACAATCATACGCTACAGCAGAATTAATCGTCGCTTGATCAGTCTATAATTGTCAACTATTGACCGAGAGTCGTGGGTCACTATCGGTGAATAATTGAATGCTCCGGATTATATTATTGATAAATACTATAATTAGACGAATTATTGATTTTTTTAGTAGAAGTATTTTAGTTCTCTCATATATCCGAAGTGTGCAATAAAAACGTAAACTGTGTGTATGAGACAAATAAGAAGTGAAGATAAATATTACTTTTAATGCAGCAACGGGATATGGCCTTTATTTTGGCGCACATTGTTTTGATTTAACGATATCGTTATTATTATTATTATTATTATTATTATTATTCCAGACTGAATATATTCAGCTAAATTTTTATTTTACGTTTAAGTGTCACATTCTCCTTTTCAGTTCAGTTCAGTTAACTATTTAACAAACAATGAGCGACAGCAAACATTTTTTAATATCATTCAGTGTAATAATTTTAACAACATATATCGAGATTAAAGTCATATTCCGTTGCTCCGTTAAAAACAATCCAAAAACAATACCAAATCAAACAGATTGTACTTTTTACAATAGGAATTGCTTAATTTTCCCCTTAATTCATTCGGATCGAGATTGAGAAAAGTTGCGCTATCATTCGTTTTCACCCTCTCCACATTCTACTTTCACGTGAATTAAAAGGAAGCCGGTCAAGTTTTCACCACTGTATCACAAGAATTGAACTGTAACAAAGAAATTACCGATCCCCCCTCCAAGCCTTCCCCTTATGAGAAGCTAATCTAAGCTTTCGAATGCAATTTGCCCCATATTGCTATGATTTTTCTACATGAAGATATTGACAAGCGGCGAGTCCTTTGACGGGACCGGGGCCACCGCAACAATGTTGCGCGCAATTCCTCGGCGGCGCCAGTGCGCTTACAATGTATCGGCAAAGGACCACGCTCCGCCGCGCCGCCGATCGCCGACGCAGGCCCGTGCGCGATCTCGGCGAGCCCCGAGTCTTCGAACGAACATATCCCGACGAAAAATCAATGTACGAACGCAAAACAAGCGCCACTCCCCGCGACGTTTCGCGCCACACGCGGACGCACGTGTCGCGTGTGTCCTTGTCATGACACGTGTTCGCGTGTGTGACTGTGACACGTGGAGCACGCGATACGCATCACCGTGAAAAAAAAGTCGGTGTATATTTAGACACGTCCAACGGGGTATTGAGAGTTTCCGTCGCGTAAAGTACGAAATTTCGCGTGTAGCTCGTTTGAAAAATGTCGAAAAAAACAGTGTCGAAGAGAGAGAGAGAGAGAGAGAGAGAGAGAGAGAGAGAGAGAGAGAGAGAGAGAGAGAGAGAGAGAGAGAGAGAGAGAGAGAGAGAGAGATAGATAGATAGATAGATAGATAGATAGATAGATAGATAGATAGATAGATAGATAGAGAGAGAGGGGAGGGGGGGAGGTCTGCCATTTTCCCCCAAACGATAAAACGCGCGATACCCAAGGCCGATTATCGCGCGAGCAACATCGGAAACATTGAGAAACTCCCTCTTGACTTACGTGTAGTCGCGAATGTATTCGATCGAGAATTAATCACCGGTCACTGAGGCCAAAGTTATAATCATATTATCGAATTAAGGTCGCCGGTGGAATTAACTCGGCACCGGAATAAAAAGGAGGGAAAACATGACTAATGACTCAAGAGTGTAACGCGAATGTGGGATTGAATTCTGTGGAAACGATTTTCACGCAAGCTACTCTCCGCGCGAGAGGGAACTCTCGAATCTCGTTGCTTACTGCTTTATATATCACACGTATTTATTTACATCGGTGTATATTGCTTTCAACGGAGCAACGAGACTTCATCTTGACATGTGTCGTTAAGATTTTACCACCCTGAATAATATTCAACAAATTTTAGCCGCCGCGCTCATCGTTCGTCAAAAGATTATCATTGAAATATTAATAAAAGGAGTCGGACGATCGTGACACTTGACTTCATACGTTTATAATATAGTGATATAATAATTGGTTAATGAATACGTAAAAATACAAACGAGGGAGACGTTTCTTCCGTTCCTCTCCTACATCACACCCGCAAAAAATCTAACAACGTCAAATTATTAGTGTCGCGAAGAAGGTTGTTGCGCAAAACGGAAAGATTAGCTGGACATATTTGAGATAATAATTATAATATTAAAGCGAGCTAGCAACGAGTAGAGATTTTTGTTCGTAACTCCGTTACAAACAACGAGCGACAGCTCGAAATTTCATTCGTGTTATCTAGGGAGATAATCTTAACGATATACGCCAAGATAAAAGTTGTATCTCGTTGCTCCGTTAAAAGCAATATTTACCTTGATCTGTCTTCTTCTACTTTCTCTCCATTACTCTTGTGTAATTGAAAGAGACGAAAAGTTTTTCCGCTCCCGTTAATGAGCGATCGCTAAGTTACCGATAAACAAGACCTCGCGAGCAGAGGATCCCTCTCCCCCCCCCCTCCCCGCAGAAGCTGATCGCGTCGCGACGCGGCGGTGAGTCGGGAGAGCGCAAGCGGAAAAACGGACGCGCACTTTCACCCGAGCGACATTTCAACAGCCGGTGCCGAGACTGTCGCAACGGTGACGCCCGGCGGCGCACTGAGAAAAAGCACTTGCTATCCGTAACTATAACCGCACGAGGGAAGAATTGCAGTCGGGAGGGCCATTTTTCTAGCGGGCGTTGCCCCGTCGTGTCGTCGGTGGCAATAACCTCATACGCATATCGCCCATTATTATCCTTTCTGTCACGCACAGAGAAATGCATATTGCATCTTCAAGCCAACAGTACCCCCGCCTTCGAGTGCTTTATAATTTATCTGTCCGCGAATCTATGACGAATGATCTATGTCAAATACATTCCGAGCTTTTTAGGCTTCCTCGATGAAGAATATTAAATTGATGTAAAAATCCGGCTTGCCTTTTTCCCTCTACAGAGCACAAGTATCCCTGAAAGGGACATAAATTCTTCTCTCGCGCGATAACGAGCTTTTCTGAAATCTGCGATGGGTACATCCTTTCAAGTACATTACCGAGGAAATATCCTTTGTTGAGGATAACCGTTACTCGGCGGAGGGCAAGTAAATCGCTTCCTCAGCGGTAGAATAATATTTTCCTCTACGCGGGGACGACTATATACAGTCGACGCCGAAAATCACTGCGAATGAAGCTTTACGAGATTAACCATATTTTTTTCCTCTCAGTGCTGCGCTCGCGCTCATCCCCCGCCGTCCCCCGCGGCGATCTGATCCTGATCCGCGTTGGAGTCCTCCGCGACGAACAACCCGCAGTTTCCAATCCGTCTCCATCGGTGCGAATTAGATACGCTCAGCGCCGGCCGCACTTCCTGGCGTGGCATTACGCGAGAATTTCCGGGATCCTTATCGGGACACGGAATAGAGCCGAACCCGTAATACATCGTTTCGCGAACGAGCGAGCGCGCTTTTTTTATCAATACGTGTATCGTGATGCGATGTAGGTTAATGGTC